CACACACACACACACACACGAACATGCACACACACACACACACACACATACACACACACACACACACGAACATGCACACACACATGCAGGCTTACAGTCACATGCATAATATAAATGAAAGTAATATAAATAATAATAATCTTTAGCTAGATACATACTCAATGTTATTGTGATATATGCTCTAATTAAATCATATGAATATTTGTAACAAGATGGTTAAGACGGAAGAATTTTGATGGATGATGGTGAAAATGACCTTCTGTATCTTAAAAGTCTATGATTGATAATACTTTATTATCTCAGAGGGAAATTTTTCTTGGCTGTACAAGACCGTAAAAACACATGCAGGTATACATAAAATATCTAAATTATATATTACTCTCATTAAAATTCAACATGAAAAGAGACGTAAAGCTAACAAAAGGTACATATCACATCAGGTGCTCATTCAACCTCATGCAGGAATTTGATTTCAAGACCCCTGGAGTTATATACTCGTAGATAATACTCTAAAGAGCAATACACATTATGCTAATTCATGGGCTGGCCTATGTCCTCTGTCTTCACAGGATCAAGAGAAACAAACCACGAAGGAGGACTCCTCTTACTCTGCCGTCACTCTGTGCTCACAAAGCATTTATCCCGGGGATGATCAGCTCTTGACTATGGAGAAAGAAATTTTGGAAGTCAAGTATAAGATACTGGATGATCCAGCTTATTCGCTACAGACTCCCCCTAAGAAGGTAAGTGTTGTTTTCTTTTCTTTTTTTTTTTGGATTACGTTATGTTGAGCTACTGCATTTTTTTACATCATAATAAAATTTCCTGATAATGGTTATAGCATCTGTGATACTTAACCCTATCCGTACTTCGTGTTTTACTATCGTATCTTATACGACGTGGGGAACTCTGTGCGACCTCTTTCCAAAGAGGAAATTTATTTGTTATTCCGATCCATACGCTTTGCATAGCAGTCTGTCAAGAAGATTTTTTGAGAAATGCTGAAAGTTTTAAAGAGATCTTCATACTAGAAGTATTTTAAAATGTGAAGAATACAACCCAGGGGGTACAAAATTACCCCAGGGCGTATGGATAGGGTTAACATGCAGCCTGATGAAGGATTGTCCTGCATACTCCCTTTAATAGCGTGTTTGATTTCTGTCTCTTGAGGAGACTTATTTGATTCTTTATCCGGCAAGCCGCTCCCAGCGGCTCACGGTCGGAACCACTGTGCCAGTGAGCTGCTGATAGCAGCTTAGGCATATTCCTTTACGACCAAATTAGTTTTTGGCAGTTATCTCTTTTACTGGGAGTTCATTCATTAGATAAAGAACTATCAAAATGGGTTTACCTGTTTTGATTTAATGACTCATTTAGTAACGTTTTTGTCATTTTAAGATTTAATACCAAAGAATGGGGCCCGGCATAGTGGGTTTATACCCACGGAGATAAAGAGTTAAGTTTTTGTGATGTCCTATATTTCTTGGTGGAACATTGCATAGTGGAGCATCTAGGTTGTTATGTTACGACTTACTTGAGTCTTGGAGTAGTAGATCTAGATGGTGGTTGATGTTGGTGGGGCCCCACCTGCTCGTCTTCTGTTAGTTCTTCGTTAGCCGATGTTACTCATTTCGGCTTCAGTGAGTGAGTGACACTTAAATTACCCACGGTTTGCATGAAATCACATGAGGTGTCAGTCACGTGATATGTCCTTTTGGTCTACGTCACAATAACTATTATAAATGTGCGTTCATGCTACATGTCCTTCTATTCTAAAAGTGCGCTTACACCACATAGGTGCATTTGCTTCAACTGCTGTGGAGGAGGGAAGATGCAAGTTCCCAATTCTGAATACGCAGATTGCTAAATAAAACCATTTGTTCTCCTTCAGAGAGATGCACAGCTAGAGGGCCAGCTGGTGCAGGCAGCCTATGAGTTTTTCACCGCAGAGAGACTCGAGGAAGCCTTGGAGTTGATGTCAAAACTGATAACATTGGATCCAAGAAATTTGTTCTACAGAACTTTCAGAGCACAGGTATGATTTGTCATTTGTGAGGCAGCGTGGTGAAATGAGGGCGCTCGTCAAAGTTTTTAAAATGGTATTTTTCCACAGGTTTGTGAATTTTTATAGAATTTTCGTCTTTTGGCTCAACACCTTTAATGCCAATTAAAGAACACACTTCTAAATTTTCTGTTTTCATGGACTCTCAAGCTAAGGAAATAAATCATCTTTGAAAGCCATTTTCTCACTAATTTTTACATCTGAAACTGGCGACCCCCACCTCCTTCATTCGCAAATGTCTTGACTTCTATTGAAGATAAATGGATAATTTTCTTCACCCAAAGCAAGATAAATGAACAAGCTTCATGATGATGCCAATAACTCTGCATGCCCAAAAATTGACGAGAGCCTGATTCCACCGCGTCGTGACACAATTGCTCTTTAAAGATTCCCGGGATCAGGTTGTATTTGTTTCCCATGAAGTTAGTTTTTTTGTTGTTGATGATGAGCACCCTTGTAAATAACATTTAGGTTATTTAAAAAGGTAAACTAAGAAAGAAAAATAATTTTACAGGAGTATATGTGTGTGTGCATGTTTGTGTGTGTGTGTGTGTGTGTGTGTGTGTGTGTGTGTGTGTGTGTGTGTGTATGTGTGAACGTAGTGAAACACCAAACCAATGTGCCAGGATCTGGACAATAAAGATGTATCTTATCTTATAAGCTTTTGTAAATGTAAAGGCTAAATTTCTTTCATAAGCCTTAACAACAAATTTTGTATTGTCATGAAGTTACATTTTTGATGGATTCATTTATAAGACTGTATATATGAACACAAGACTAAAACACATTGACTGTGCTATGTGTGAGCTTGAATAACCACCAGCTATTCTGCTCAAATTGCTGAGGTTCCCAAACTGTTCAAATGTCTGAGAATTTTTAAAAGGAAAGATAATTAGTCTACTATTGTAATGATGTGCCATTTCACAAGTCACAAATTCCCATAATTTTGGGTAAGTTTATAAGTGAATTGGATACAGCTTTGTGTCGTCATCAAATTACTGTGAGTTGTTAACGTTTGAATATTTATAACCCTATATTCTTCAGATTTATTTCAACATGAGTCAGTGGCCTAAAGTGATTCAAGACTACTGGGTGATTCCCAAAGCTCAGAGGAAAGCTGAAATTTGGAAGCAAGGAGGTCAGGGGCATGATCCTTCCCACAATATCTCCATACCTTGCTCTTTGTATTTTAGTGTCATTCCCACAATATCTCCGTCCCTCGCTCTGTGTATTTTAGTGTCATTGTTGCACGCGACTGTCATCATGTTTACTTGCTTTTCAACTCAAAATCAACGAGGACATTTTAAACAGTCAATTAAAGACTATAAAGTATACAAAAAGCTCATCATTATTAATGTATATATTTATTAGGCTTACAAATTCGTTATGAAAAAAAAAGACATAAGTAATAGTGAGATAATTGTGCTTTGATATCATTGTTTTTTAAAAGTTAATTTAGTTTCAAACATTTTAGAAAAAAGAGAATTATGTAAAAATATTCTGAAAAATGGATTGCAGCATCTTTTTTTTGGGGGGGTTGTTTTTTTTACTCTGCCCATTTCTATCAACTGACACTTTGGTGTTTAGTAGAAACAACAGAAGCAACAAATGTGCAGCATTTTGGATTTTAAAATTAACTGTTAGTATTAGTGTAAACACATAAGAGAAATGATAGGTGAAGGGTACTGACGAAATGAGTTACTTCTCGGATTCGAGCCCTATGAAAATAGATACATCACGCTTACAGGTGAAGTTTTTACAATTTAGAAGTATGAAATAATAGAAGGCTTGTTATACTTAGAGAATAAGGCATCAATAGAAAATCTACAATTTTGACAATACTGTCAATTTTTGGCCAATATCTCCATTTGTGGATTGCAAGAAGTAACTGGTTTTGTCAGCACACCTCACATATATAATATATATTGTATCATCAACTTCTTAAACAGACCATGCAAACTGCTCACAGTTTAAACAAAATCTTTTTCTTTCCTAATCCTAACTATCGTCATTTGTCCTCTACTTGTTTTGTATGTTTGTCACTCTCTTGTGAACTGCTATTTCCTTGATAGTGGAAGCAGACTTTAGTTTAGTTTAGTTTTAGTAAGGTTTTTACGACGCTCGCAACTGCATAAGGCCATATGAGCGCCAAGGGGTGGATGTCAACAGAGAAGTCCTTACAGGGAATCAGACTTACTCTGCTCACCTCTCTATCTTCGACAGCACAAAGTCTGCTTCGACTATCAAGGCACCCCGGAAATAGTGGGTCACAAGAGTGTGACAAACATACAAAAGAAGTAGAGGAAAATGATAATAGTAAGGATTAGGAAAGAAAAAGCAGCAGTTTCCTGTTGTAGATCAGACACAGTTATGAGTGTGACATTGATGAATCAGCCCATTTACAATTCTACTGTGCATGAACAAGAAATGTCCTATCTTTGGGAATGGCCTAAAGACACTTCTGTCAGTATTACCGCCCCGGGGGGTGGAAGCAGATTTGGTATGAACTTATGCAGTTGCGAGCGCCGTAAAACCTTATTAAAACTTTAAAAACTAAAACAAAAACTGATGGATTATAATGTCAATATGTACAAATGGTCTCAATTTTTTAATTACAGGGAAAGCTTTTGTGGAGCTGTGGCTTCCGGTTCTGGCCGAGTTCTGGCTGAGAAAAGCGACACAGCTGAGTGGAGGGAAAGACGAGGAGGCGGCCATGTTGTTTCAGAAAGTCAGAGTGAGGCGTTTGTACGAGCCGTTGACGGAAGATCAGCCCGTCCAAGTTGACTTCACGCAGTTTGGCAGAGCTGTATTTGCAAAGGGTATGCTGTGGAGCAAGAAATTGGTTGTTGTTGTTGTTGTTGTTGTTGTTGTTGTTGTTGTTGTTGTTGTTGTTGTTGTTGTTAGCAATACAGCAGCATCTGAGCATTAACTCTTCTGTATGATGCCATTCTGTAATAGCTGTGTGTTTGTTCTAATTGTTGTCTTGAGGAGTAGAGGCAATTAGATGTGTGGGGTAGCTTTGGAAGAAAACATCCCCTCAAATAGGTTAGCTTTCTACAGAAGAACAGATGATGTTCCACTGTCTCTGAGGGGAAGTCACATAGTGGGCAGGCAGCAGACTGCTTTACTCCAATTCGGTTGAGATGTTGATTGAGGGGCACATGTTGTGTTTTAAGTTGGAAGATTATGGATTGACCTCCCCTCCTCAACTCATTAATTGGATCTTTGACCAGTGGTTTATTAATGTGGCCATACATTATCCTTCCTGTCGTACGTGCAAGAAATTAGTTTTGTTCTTTTTTTTGGGTTTTTTTGTTTTAGCGGAGGTATGTTTTCAAAAAAAGAAAGTCAATGTAATAAAAAGTGTTTTGACGAGTTCTTTATATTTTCATTCTGCCATTATTTTTATTTTTCTTAAAATGTTGCTTTGAATTATAATAGGTACAGTTACAAGTTTTATGTCCGTCCAATAATGATCTACAGCTCTTGCTTTGGTAGTGTAGGTTTAACACTTTGCAGTCACTTGGCGCAATAATGTGACGGGGAAAATTATCTGTTCCGGTCACCTGACGACACAGTTCTGTGCCAGACCCGAGAAGTCTGTTGCAGTCACTCTCCTAACTGGGTGACCAGATGGGGCATTTTGTACTGCTGGCTGTGTGACTGCAAAAGTGTTAAAAGCATATTATATAATGCTGCTTGTTTATTCTCACATAAAGAGATTTTTTTTCTTCTTATGCATTGCTATAGTAATTTGATCCTTCATAAGAAAAGAAAAAGAGGATTAGTGGATGGAGGGAACTTGATAGAGATATATAAAGAAGGAACTCTCCCTATGTCTAGTCAGTGCTTCAGATTTGGTGTTTTGGAGTAATTATTTTTTTTTAAGAGTGGGTGGTTGGCGGGTGCTCTGGGTGATCTATCTTCTCTATCTCCCCTTCTTGTTTTTAGTGTTTGTTACTCTCTTGTAACACTTCTAATCTTCGGCACTTATATGACCTTATTAAGTTGCAAGTGCTGTAAAACCCTTACTAAAACTTTTTTTTTAAAGAAGTTAAGGGAATAGAAATGTACTGCTCATTGTGCACTGTCATTTGTGAGGCTTCGAGATGAAATCAGGCTCTCGTCAAATTAATGAAATCGAAAAAAATGGCATTTTTCTATAGGTACATTTGGCAATTTTTATAGAATTTTTGTTCTATTGACTCAACAGCTTTAAGGTCCACTTAAAAACACATTCTTTGTGTATTTTAGAGAAAAATGTTGATTTAAAGACACAAACATTTTAATTTGTAATTTTTAAGGACTCTCAAGTTTTGGAAGTTGCCAAAGTTTGGCGGCCGTTTTCTCACTAATCTTTGAAACCAGACGACTCTGACTTTCTTCAATCGCAAATATCTCTACTTCTATTCAAGATAGATGGGTATTTTTTTTCTGCACCGAAAGGAAGGCAAATGAACAGGCTTTACTTTAAGATGATACCAATAACCCCATTTGCCCAAAAATTAATGAGCGCCTGGTTCCACCGCGTCGTGACACATTTTATATCTCTCTGTTTTTGCCAGAGGATATCCCTGCTGGTGAGACCGTCATGATGGACATCCCAATGGTCATAGCACAGTCGTTGTCAACTCGACACATACCTGCATGTGCCAACTGTGCCACCTCTCTCATTTCACCGGAGATCTACTTTGAGAAAAAGTGAGACTTTCTTTCTTTTTTCTTTTTTTTGACCCTGCCCATTTCTATCAATTAGCGCTTTTGTGTTTAGTAGAAACATCTATTGTCCTTATCTCCCCTTCTTCTTTTTTATGTTTGTTACTCTCTTGTAACACCTCTAATCTTCTGGCACTCATATGACCTTATGCAGCTGCGAGCGCCGTAAAACCTCTACTAAAACTAAAAACTAAAACGTTAAGGTGATATATATCAATAACTTCAGGCGCCCAAACTTTGAAAAGCACCTGGTTCCATGGCGTCCTGACACATTTATCTTACCGCTCTAATGGCCGCCTGTATAAGACAATCACTGGTACAAATGGCTACTTTCTATAATTTCTCCCTTGGCTATATTTTACATTATAATAACGTTGTGTGAGACGGCCACATGTCTAATATGGTCACTTTTCTCCTTAACGATTGGTCACTTTTAAGGACAAGACAGCTATCCCGAAAAATGCTGTTTTGAGAAAATTGTAGGTAAAGTTTTTGCCCCTTGTTCAATTTCTTTAAAAGACAAGGAGAGTTTTCTCTATAACCAAACAAATGTACACATCAATGAAACCAAACTTCTCTTTTAGGTAGAACAATGCCTACTTTTGGTGAAGGTCAAGATTTCTGGAAACCCCCGAAATCAGGGTTCACCTGCTTGTCTCTAAAAGTGACCAATTGGTGGCTGGCTTAGAAAGTTTTGACTGTATGCTGCTTTTCATTATTATCTTTTGTTACATTGTTTAGGCTACTAAAAATAACTTCTTTTTTTTTTGCAGACTGAATTTAATGGGCAAAGAGCAACAGGAGCTAATTGAAGACCACTGGCCAAAAGTGTCGGAAATTTGGTGTGAGCATTGTGGAAAGGAGCGATACTGCAGCAACATCTGCAAAAATGAGGTGAGTGATTAATTCCATGTATGCTTTTATACATCCTCTATAGTTCTGTATTTCCACTTCACCTTCACCTATCTCGTTGACCGGATGTCCGTCGGGGCGCTTTTGAAGATTTGACCACCAGCTTCCTCCACTCCTTTCGGTCTTCAGCTTTCCTGAGCGTGTCTTTGATTTCCAGGCCTGTCCATTCCTTGATGTTGTCCTCCCAACTCTTCTTTGGTCTGCCTCTGCTCTTCTTTCCCTGGACACTGCCTTGCAGGATCATAAAATATCATCTTGTCATGTGTGTTACGATGTGGTGGAATCAAGCGCTCGTCAAATTTTGGGCATATTGAGTCATAGGTATCATCTTAAAGTCTGTTCATTTGCTTTGCTTTTGATGAAAAAAATATCCATTTATCTTGGATACAGGTTGAGATATTGGCAATTGAAAGAGGTAGGAGTCGCCTGGATTCAGGGGTAAAATTAGAGATAAAATGGCCGCCAAAGTTTAGTTATTCCCTTAGTTTGAGTGTGTGGGGAAAAACTTAACATTTACTTCTTTTATGCCTTTAATCAATGTTTTTCCGTAAAATCAACATAGAAATGTGTTCTTTAATGGGCATGAAAAGTGTTGAGCCAAAAAACAAAAATCCTATCAAATTTCCTAACCTGCGGAAAAATACCAGTTTCTTCACTTTCATTATTTTGACGAGCACCTGGTTTCACCGCACCGTCTCACATATCTTATCCTACCTTATCTTTTGTACCATACTTGGAGTTGTTTTAGCATTGCACTTCCGGTAAAATAAATCCTTATATTTCACACAAGAAATATGATAAGCTGATAGCCAATCTCACACGTGAAATATAAAAATTTGCATAAATTGCTACGGGTTCGAATGAGGCTAGCAACGGAAAAATTTTCTCTCTAAAATTGTCTCCTTTCCTGCTCTCTACCAATGTTCTATCGTCTGCTTTCATCTCCACTTTCTGCACCCACCCCCTCAACCCCTTTGCCCCCCTCCTCTGGGCTCCTGACTCTTTGTGCAGCCTTTCTACTGCTACTCCTTGGCTCCTTCTTACTGCTGTCTTTTAGCCATATCCCTGATTTTCTAATAGGAAAGATCTACACCTAGCCTTCTCGGACAAGGGTGAAAAATCTCGGAGGACCCAAGTGCACGTTGCGCACATTAAAGGTCCCGTGGTGGTCTAAAATCAATAAGAGTAGGATGCGGCCGTCACCCGGGCAAAATTCCAAATTTCCTACCAAACTGAAAATGTTAAGTGTGTCCAACGCGCTCATTTGACCTTATGCAGTTGCGAGCGCCGTAAAACTCTTACAGAAAAAACACTTACCTACCTTTTCCAGGCTTGGGAAGTTTATCACCGAGTAATCTGTCCGCGCTTCAACCCTGGAGCGGACACTCTCTACGCTGTGATTGAACAAGGGGGCTTTGGCTACACGGCGGACGGCAAATGGGATGAGGTCTGGAAGGGTCACTTCAGGTAACACCCAATGTCCAAGGACGTAGATTGTGTATATAAGGCCTGCAAACCAATTCCACAAAAAGATTGTATGTGGACCTCACTAGGTGGGGGGAAACTGGATTTACATAATGACATCATGACAAGACAAAAAGATCGTGGTTTGCTTCTTGTTTCCTATCAAACATCTATCATCCTTATCTCCCCTCCTTCTTTTTTGTGTTTGTTACTCTCTTGTAACACCTCTAATCTTCAGCACTTCTATGACCTTATTGTGTTGCAAGTGCCCTAAAACACTTACTAATACTAAACAGGTTTGACCCCTTTATGATGCAGGGTCAATTTTTATCTCACAAGACACAATTTTGAATCTCCAGAGATGAAGGGTGATGCTTGATTCAGCGGTTGATTGACTATAATTCGATACAGTTTGTAAATGCAACAAACTGTACCTTAAAGTGAAAGATTCTTTTATATATGAAAAGAATATCGCTGTATTTGAATCAGCTATTACTATTAGATTTACGAAGCTTGTCTGTCAGAAACAGCACAGTGAATGCAAAATGTGACGAACAGCACTCATGATTATGGTCCTCGCACTTTGCAAGGTGCTGTCTCTGCGGTTTTATGCCACACAAAAATTATGAAATTATGCAAACTGAGCCCAAAAATGTGAAATTATGCAATTTTGTTAATTTTAACTATGAATGCTAAAGGAAAATAATTTGAAATTATGCAAAAAATGATCAAATTTTGCAAAATTTTGCGGGTGCATAGAACCACGGGGACAGAAGTTATGACATTTATCACAGCAACATCTTGGCCCCTTCCCCACACAAGAAAAAATGACAAATGGTTCTTGTCTGGTCACGGGTTTAAATCACTGAGTGGTTGAGTTTTAATTTTTTTCCTAAAAATGATTTAGTAATCAGAGTCTTTATATAACCTGCTTGACTTATTTTTTAATTCTTATAGGAGATAGGGGAATAAGAAAGTAGGCAATGAGTGATTAAATCTACAGATTTACCATGCTCTAATTCCTGGGGATTTCATAAATGTTTAGCTATGTTGTCTTAACCCTATCCGTGCGTCGTGTTTTACCATCATATCCATATGACATGGGGAACTCTGTGCCACCACTTAACCCTATCCGTACATCGTGTTTTACCATCGTATCCATACAATGTGGGGAACTCTGTGCCACCACTTAACCCTATCCATACATCGTGTTTTACCATCGTATCCATATGACGTGGGGAACTCTGTGCCACCACTTTCCAAAGAGGAAATTTGCTCGTTAATCCGATCCGAACGCTTTGCATAACAGTCAGTCAAAATGATTTTTTGAGAAATTCTGAAAGTTTCAAAGAGATCTTCGTACTAGAAGTATTCTTAAAATGTGAAGAATACAACCCTAGGGGTACAAAATGACCCCTTGGGGTACGGATAGAGTTAAGGGGAATGAGTTCAAAGATGTATATTTCTTATGTTTTCTTTTGGCTCATTGTGTTGCTAAATCCAAAGTCCAATGATTCTGGTGAAAATCTGGGCTAACATCGCCTCCCAAGTGAGAACCATGATGGAGAATGATGGCGTGAAGGAACCCACCGTGGAACACTGGGCCAGAGCTAAGGCTCCTTATCGCAGGTCAGAGCATGTGATGGAATAGATCGCTGATAGAGTGATGAAAACTCATAACCAATTCACAGCAAAAATATTGTTCTGAAACCTCGCATCCCACAGCGTAACCAATTAAACAGTAGAAAAGTTATTTTTCATGCACTAACCACGTTTCTAAAGTGTTTTCATTTATCCCCAACTTTGGTTCATATACATCATTTTGTTCAAGAATAAACCAGTTTTTTGCCTCTCCTGTAAAATTTTCCTTTTTGGGGTTACGAGGTCTCATCACTCCACCAGCGATGTTTTCAATGTCTTTATAGGGTTTAAATGCTTAATGAAGAGCTTTGTTTCTATGTGTGAGTATTTCTCTTTTGTGTGTGTTTTCAGCCTGAGAATTCATGAGAGTCTGGCTTAGTATATATATATATGCTTATTGTTTTCATCAGTGGATAAATCAGGACTATTAATAAGTGTTTATGCTTTATATATCTATTTTCCCTTTACCTTTACTAGTAATCTTTTTAAATAAATATATGAAGATCTACTGACCGCAGTGAAGAGACGAAAACTAAAATGATATGGGCATGTCACAAGATCCACAGGACTTGCCAAAACAATCCTGCAAGGAACCGTACAAGGAAAGAGAAAGAGAGGAAGTCAGAGTAGGAGATGGGAGGACAACATTACAGAGTGGACAGGAAAGACGATGGGTGACAACCTGAGGAGAGCAGAGGACAAAAATAGATGGCGAGAGCTGGTTTTCCAATGCAGTGGTGCCCCAACGGTTGCCCCAACCACGGGATAGATGAAGAAGAAGAAGATTTTAAATATCTCTATAACTTATGTACACCTACTAGATCCAAAAAGACTTCTAACACTTTACCGCCTCATCTCGCCGATTGGCGATGTTTACCACCCAGTTTCTTTGGATTTTCCCCAAAATATGATGGCAAAGTGGTTAATATGTTTCCATAGTGATATTTGTTTAACCCCAGGTTCATCGCCTTTGGTACAATGCCTGCTATGCAGCGTATGCCGCATGCCTTGCCAATGTTCCAGGCTGCTTTTGCTGACTGTGGTGGGGGACTCAGTTACAAAATCACTGAGGATGAGTTTAACGGGCGCTACTACCAGGCTGCCTGCAACCTGCAGAGTTTCTCCTGCTCCATCACCCCATACCACCACTTTATGAACAACATCAAGGACGACTTGAGAGGGGTAAGGTGTGGTCTATTTGGTTGTTTTTGATTGTGGCAGGGGGTTAGGCCTAGCCTATTGTATTGTTTGGCTGAAAGTGTGAGAGTGAGTAAAGTGTGAGTCTCAGTTCAGTTGTGGTGCAAGTGTATAAAAGCAGTCTGGATTACTACAGGTTAGACTTTAGAGGGGAGAGCTGTAGCAAGGCAGAGGAGGCCTGCTGAGAGTTCGGGTGGAGAAAAGGCTAGTTAGAGCGTCTGTTTATTTCTGTGTAAGGTGTGAGGTTCCAACGCATGGGGGCCCCATCTCTGAGGAAAGGATCACCCTCCGGAGAGAAACAGATTTGGCTAACCCCTGTTGTAGGCGCAGGCAGACAGAAGGTTAGTGTTAAACATTGTTTTATGTTTCAAGTAACAACATAAGGGAACTTCAAATCCCATCCTGTGATCTTGTGTGACTTGAACAAAAGTATAGATTGACATGCATGGTGTTAACTCTTTATCTCCGGCAAGCCGCTCCCAGTGGCTCGTGGTCGGAACCACTTTGCCGATGAGTCGCTGACAGCGGTTTGGGCACATTCTTTTACGAAGACTTCGACATCAAATTACTTTTCAGCTATTGCCGAAAACAGATCTCTTTTATCGCGAGTTGGTTCATTAGATGAAAAACTATCACAACAGGTTAACTTGTTTTGAATTAATTACTCGTTTTTGTCATTTTTAGATTTAGTACCAAAATGGTGTAGTGGGTTTACCCCCCACGGAGATAAAGAGTTAAAGTGTTTTCCAAATATTCCTGAGAGGTTTTGAATCTACTCTGAATGCATGGTATTACATTTGAGATAACGGTAGGTGTGGAGTATATAAGCATAGGCTAAAAAAAAATGGGGGGGGGGGGAATAATTAGACTGCTAATGCACAATAGGGCCTATAATATGATTATCTGAATTCTATTTACTGTAGTCATGGAGCCTTTTCGCTATTCCAGTTTTGTTTATATTATTTAAGGTTTTGGTAGTGTCAGAGTTTGGTAACTTTGGTTGCCTTTTGAGAGCTGAAATCTTGACTTCTGCATCTGATACTATTTTCCTCATGAACCACTGAGCATTTTTGGGGGAAAGCATTAACAGAAACCTTGTCAAAGTAAATGAATCCATGGATGATGTGTCATTCATGTTCGTGTAGCATTTGGATCAGATACTACTTTATTTTTCCGATCCAGCAGCCATTTGAGTTCTAGCCCATCGGCTTAACGCTTGATCAGATAAAACGAGGGAAAGTCTGTATTTGCAGAAGAAAAAGGAAAGTACAGAACTGTTTAAATTATTGCTTGAATTTTGCATCTCTTTTGTTCCAAGATCGGAGTCCTCAAGCACTTATCCGACCGTCCCCCAGAAGCGCAGTTTGCGGCACTGTGCCCACTCCATGCCTGCAGCAACCACTCGTGTTTGAACAACGCAGAAGTCTGTGACTTAGACATCAATGGCCGTCCTGGTGTTCAGATGATTGCTCGCAGAGACATCAAGTGAGAACACACGTATTTGACATCTTCTTTATATTGGGGATACTTTTGCCTATTTAACTTAGAATGGCAAGAGAAAGAGAGAATGAGAGAGAGGGAGAGGGAAGGAGAGAGAGACAGAGAGAGAGAGAGAGAGAGAGAAGGAATGAGAAGGGAGTGAAAAGATCGCCATTGAAATTATGTTCTTTGTAATATAGTTAAGCCAATTTTCAGCCTATTGAGCATTTTCGTACAATTGCACAAAACAAATGTAATTTATTATGATTATTATTATGAACTCCAAAGGATTAGACTATGTAGTTATGGTATGCCTATTCCACTTGCCATTCTATAAAGGTCGTATGCATGATTTTATTGCACTGCCATTCTGATTTGAAACTGTCCATTCTAAGGCATAATTTCTTAAATGTTTTTATTGCAGAAAAGGCGAGGAAATATTTATCACCTACATCGATACCTCCATGCCTAAGACACTGAGGAAAGCTTGGCTCTTCAAGTCGTTCAACTTCTGGTGTCAGTGTAAGCGATGTCAGTTTGAGGGCGACACACCGTCGGAATGCACACACTGCCTCAAGAAGGCACCAGAAGACAAGAAATTTGCCGCTTGCGGCAAATGTAAGAGGGCGTGGTACTGCGGAGCTGCGTGCCAGAAGGCTTCCTGGAAGAACGGACACAAGATTGTCTGTCAGACTCCCCACTCGCAGGTAACTTCACCTGAAAACTACACTTTAAAAACGCAGTAAAAGTTGTGTCGAGTTGTCATGTGCTTTCGGCTGACTTGTGACGTGGATAGTAGTTAGTGGTTTACGATTGAGAGGTGTAATGTCAAGCTTCCAATTTTTTGCCTCTATGCAGTACAGTGCTTCCAATTTTTTAATATTTGACAAAAGTCGGCCGGTTAGCTGGCAGCTGTGTAGTTGTTTTCGTTTTGTTTTTTTCTTAATTAATTTGAGGAACATTTTTCTTGGGAAATACAGCAATATGCTCTTAATAAGAAAATTCTATTCACTGAAGAGCTTTTGTACATAGAGTAATGAATATCTCTGTATCACTTGAATTTGAATTCAAAACAATTTCATTAGGTAGATTGATTGTTTATGATATTTTGGCAAAATAATAAATGAAACAGAATGAGTTGTGCTGTTTAGAACAGCTAAAGTTATGGTGACCAGTGTGATTTTCTGCAATGTTTTCCTCTAGCTGTTGGAAGCACTGTGTTTTGTGTGTATATGATGGTGGATCTTTGATCGCGGTGTGCTTTGAATTTGTTCACCTTGTGTAGATCTATTTTTATTGAAGGGGTTTGCATTTCTTTATTTTCTTCTCCCTTTCTAGTCTGTCATTGAAGTTAAATGAAAGAACTTATGGTACTAAAATAAAAAATTTTATTTTTGTTTTTTAGTTCAAAAGAATGAAAAGTAAATAACGTAACATTACATTTGACTGGCTTATGTTGGTCAAACATTTTTGTTCAATCATAAATGTTGTTGGGATTTCTCCTCTATAGAGATTTAACTTGATTTGATTAAAAAACAATTGGAAATATCTTGTAAACGCATCATGACTGATATGTGGTCGCTTTTAAGGACAAGTGGGCTAACCCCGATTTCAGGGGATTCCAGAAATCTTGACCAACACTAAAAGTGGACATTGCCTTGCCTGTAGGAGAAGTTTGGTTTCAGTGGTGTGTGTATTTATTTGGTTATAGAGAAAACTGTCCTTGTCTTTTAAAGAAACTGAACAAGGGGCAAAAACTTTATCTTCGATTTTATCAAAACAGTATTTTTCGGGATAGTCCCCTTGTGCTTAAAAGCGACCATGTGTGTGGTTTTGTCTGTGAACACAAGCTCGTGTCACGTGTTTAGAACACTGGCTTTGGTAGATTGTGCTCAAGTAGAATGTGAACAAGTGAGTCAGGTGAGAATGCAGATTTTCCAAAAATAGCTTAGGAAACACGTATGTGTATAAGTATGTGTGTGTGTGGTGCTTCCAGTATCTGTTGTGACAAATAGATATTCTAAATTATAAGTATAGGTGTAATTGTTTTAGAAGTACTTGAAAACAGAAAAGTTTAACCAATTTTTGGGGGTTGAATTTCCCTAAAAAATAAAGTTGCCATTTATACTCTTTTGATGACAAGCCTCACTATGAGTATGAGACTATTTTTTTAAGCTGTACAATTAAAGGGCGAGATGTTCACTGCAATTTGGAGCAGACAAGAGAATATAATATATAGCCTGTATATATATGGAAACAAAATGATGTTGCAGAGTCAAAATGAAAGACAACATAAAATTACCCTTGCTAAAGTGATTTCAAAGTGGCGAAGATTGAAATGGATCTGATCACATGAAGTTTGATTGAGAATATTAGGTAGCTATGTTGAAACAAAGGCGGCTTCATTTTTGTACTAATAATAATTTACCTTCTGCGCTGCAAAAGAGCGAAATGCTCGCTGTTAAAGGGATTTGAAAACAACAACAACCTTACAGTTATGATACATCAGGTTTAACAGTCCTTAACTTGACAATTGTAGCAATGTCATGTATTTAAAAAGTTTCAATTCAATATTGCTTATTGAATATAACTTTTTTTTTATTGCAATTAAAGTAATGTAGATTCCACTGACAGCTACAATGACAGAATCTAATTTGGATGATATGGTGACATATTAATCAACACTACAACTTTTCTGCTCTAAATACTGAAAGAGACTAACTGCCTAAATCTATTAAATGCCTAAATTTGCTGGTAACTTTTTGGGGGTTGATATTTTTGGAGGTCTTATCATGAAATACATAACACTGTATGTTTAATGCAAATATTTCCTCTATATTTTCAGGCAGTTTTTGATACGTGATTTTCCTGCTTGCTGCCCGTGGATGTGTGCAGTGTTGCCCCGCCCCGTTTCCTGCTTCCCTCCACCCCCCACCATGAACCTGAGCCCTGTCCTCCCCCTCCCCTCCCCCTCCCCCTCCCCCTTATGACACCTTTAATCAGTGTTTTAGTTCACTTCATCAGTTGTATAACACTGGAAAGAAAAATTATTTATGCTCCCTGTCTCAAAGAAAATACATCATCTGTGTCTGACTCTAACTGATTATTGTAACTGCCAAATTAGATTAAACAATTTTTTTGGTCTTAACTTATTTATTCAAAACTGAAATTACAATTGGTGTTATTATAATTAGTAAAAATGATAATCTACTGAAAAGTTTGAACAATTCTGGCATATAATGAAACAGAAAATTACGTTTTGTTCCACTCTTCTGAAAATCCGCGTCAGACATCGATGGTATATGGTATCCCCTAATTGCGACCTGGTACTGTTAGGGTTTTCACAATTAATGTATTCCATATGAAAATGTTGTCCCTTTTTTTACCCAGTGTTATACACCTGACAAAATGTGCCCTTTATAGCCCAGTTTAGATTATATGACCTGGTCACCCCAACATACCTACCAGTTCCTAGCAACCAGCTCCCTCGTGACTCCTTCGTCCCACTCCTGGCCTTTGAAAAGGGAAAAATGTAGGATGCAAAAGCGCTGAGAAACTAGAAACTTGATCGAACATAAGAGTTGCCCTTATAACTAGGACCAGCTGCCTTCCACCTGAAGCTCCTCTTTTTCTTTCAAATCAGTTGATCGGCCTATTAGAGTAGAAGTAATAGGGAAAACAAATAATACATTTATATGACTCTTCAGTTATTTTTTAAAAAGCAGCTACTGAACATCTTGGATGGACATACAACATCAGCACCTTTTACCATCTCAAAATGAACCATGCAGGAAGCTACATTTCCATTTATTAAACCATTCATCTCAATCTGAAAGAAGATTTTAGGCAGCTGATTCTTGGGGCGTCTCGTACAGATGGATTTGCGATATTTTCATTAGTCACTCGACTGCAATGAAATCAAATACTCTACGTGTTATTCAATGCTTTCAGGAGAATTGTTAAAAATTATTCCAGGACAATGCAGCATTTGCAATTTTCTTCTTTTCAAAGGCTGGAGGTGATGCCCCTTAGATGTGTGTTTTCCCATTCCCAGATCCTTCAATTTAGTTCCTTAGAGTTTGCTTTTGCCATGAAAATTTGTTGAATTTGCCCTTTCCCGAATCCCAAATAGTGTCCTTTGTAGAGAATTTGATCCATGTCATGAGTGAGAATCGCTTTCACACAAGAAGAACAATTTGCAAACTTTTTTGAAATTTCAAAATGAGGCTGCAACATAGTGAATTGCAAGCTCCAAGATTACTAATTTTACTCAAAGCCTTTAACAGAATATCGGGGGAAAAAAACACAACTGAAAACTGTAAGAGAGCAAATCGTTTATAATCTTTTGTAAGATGATTCACACTCAAAAAAGCATTGCCATCATGGCTGTTTCAATGTGGATAGTTGATAGTAGCATCGTTGTCCAAAGATGATTTAATGTTAGATATAGCTTTTTTAGAACATTTTGATTGTCATGCTTTGTAATGATCATTGTTTTAAAATTACTTTGTAAAATCGACTGTTTCTTTGTTAGATTGGGATCATTATCAGTTTTTTTCTTGTCCATTTGCATTGATACAGCTCAAGGTAAGTTCATAATCAGTGGTTTTAAATAGCAGGAATTCCCACAACAAAGAATTGAGACAGACGGTTTATTGAGCTGTAGGTTTATGAAGCGCGGTATTTTACTGCTCGTTGGAAAAATACAGCCATTCTGGCGTTAGAATTAACCCTGATAAAGTAAGCGCAAATTATAAAGTAAATACAACTAGGTCAGGGATAGTCATTCTTATAGAAAAAATTGTCTGGCTAGCTTGAGAACAGAGAAGACTGTCTATTTTGCATTCGATGTAAATCCCGTCCAACAAGGATAACTTTAACTAGAACCCATTGTTGATAGATAGACAAATATGTTCATCGCATCTATAATTCGGGTGAACCGGTAACGAAAAATAAAAGAGATATCACTTGTAGAATGACAAATTGTACGAGCTATAAGCTATTCGTGATTCCGAGATTTCTGTATTTGTTTCATCTGAGCCCAACTGTAAGTAACGAGTAAAACATTTTGTTTCTGTAATTTGTCCCTTGTTGGATCCTTAATATGTTGGGTATTTTTTTAAATTACCGCGCAGCAAAAATTCTCAAATACAGCTGTCTTCTCAACATCTTTATGGTACGTAGATTATATAATTTGCCAAAGTTGAAGGTCCTGCCGTTATGTCAATTAACATGACAATTTTTGACAGCCACTAATTTAGAATAGGGTTTAGTTCAAGTGAAATGTTTTAACATCAAGATACTTTTTTATCACTCCTCATGAAACTTTACATTTGAAATAACAATATACCTTACGTAACAGCAGGATATGTGCTTCTAATGTAACCTGTGATAAAAGCTCACATTTTGTTCTAGTTTCATACCATGCCTACCTCTTATTTATTTGTTCCCCTTACTTGCCAACCCTTGCCCTGATACTTTAAATATCTCATTTGTCCCTTTTCCCCGTGCCCTCCATTGACCTCTCACCCTTACACAATTCCCCTCTCAGTCCCCAAGCCTTCCATTGACCTCTCACCCTTACACAATTCCCCTCTCAGTCCCCATGCCTTCCATTGACCTCTCACCCTTACACAATTCCCCTCTCAGTCCCCAAGCCTTCCATTGACCTCTCACCCTCACACAATTCCCCTCTCAGTCCCCATGCCTTCCATTGACCTCTCACCCTTACACAATTCCCCTCTCAGTCCCCATGCCTTCCATTGACCTCTCACCATTACACAATTCCCCTCTCAGTCCCCAAGCCTTCCATTGACCTCTCACCCTACACAATTTCCCTCTGAGTCCCAATGCCTTCCATTGACCTCTCACCCTTACACCATTTCCCTCTCAGTCCCAATGCCTTCCATTGACCCGTCAACCTTACACACAATTTCCCTGTCAGGTTTTTATTTACTCGTTTTTGTTTTTACCCTGAGATATACTTAACCTTTTTTTTAGTTAAAACATTCCTTTGTTTTTTGTTTACCCCCTAAAAATTCCTTCAACCCTGCTCACAGCTATCTCCTTTAAGTCAGGCTTGCTTCATGAACTTAATAGAGGTTGGGTTTTTTTGCTGTTGTTTGTTGTTTTTTGTTGTTGTTGTTGTTGTTGTTGTTGTTTTGTTGTTGTTTTTTTTTGGGGGGGCGAATCTAAAGTTTGTTTCAAGCTCAAAGTAAGCAAGCTGTGTTATGTCGAAATGTATTTCATCATTTGTAGTAAATTGTTGGGGGGGGGGGGGGGGGGTTACATTCACCTAAACACATTATAGAGATCATCTCAAAGAAGCAAGTCTGTCTCTCTTCAGTTTTCCCAAACCTGTCATTTACTGAAAATAAATTATTTTGTGCGTGCAGCTAAAAGAGATAAAATAGAAGTCCGTGAGGCAGAGATGACGTAAGCTACTGATGTATCCAGCGCTGGAAATCTCAAGTGCCAATCGTCAAAAGTTATCGAAACATGATCCATCACTGTTGGTTTGTCATTACATAAAGCAAGAAAGAAAAAAAAAAACTCTGAGCATCTTCCCAGATCAGTTTTCTTCATATAATGTGAACCTCATATGTAAGCAGACATTCTGAGCAATGAAACATTTGAGTGATGCCACCATGGAATCGGGTGCTCATCAATTTGTATGGTTTATGGCATAGTTATTGGTATCATCTTAAAGCCTGTTCGCTTGCCTTGTTTTTGATGAAAAGAATACCCATCTATATTGAATAGAAGTCGAGATATTTGCGATTGAAGGAGGTGGGAATCACCTGGTGTCAGAATTGAAAATTATCAAGAAAATGACCGCCAAACTTGGTAATTTACAAAGCTTAAGTGTCCTTGGAAACTGCAAAATTTACAGTTTTGTGTCTTTGGTCAACATTTTTCAATAAAATCCACACAGAAATGTGTTCTTAAATGGGCATTAACACTTTGCCGCCTCATCTCACCAATCGGCGATGTTTACCGCCCAGTCTCTTTGGATTTACTGAGCCGTGTGACAGCAAAGTTTTAAAGGATTTGAGCCCAAAATGAAAAATCCAATAAAAATTGTCAGATGGGCAGCAAAATGTCAAATTCTAAGAATTCATTGTTTCGATGAGCGCCTGATTCCACCATGATGACAAACACATTATATTTTTATTTTAAAAGCGGAGAGATATTATTTTCAGTAGATGAAATTTTCCTTTTTATTCTTGAAAGTTACGTTTCTCTGATTTTTCTGTTTATCCCTTTCTGTATAATGTAGATCTACTGTTTCCAATTTTAGACCCCAGGTTACAGCTGTTGTTAGTGTCTCATATATATACAATATAATATATATGTTATAATTTGATCTGTCCATCCTTGTTTGATCCACAAATCCTTTACCTGTTTGATCCATCCATCCTGTATGTGCATAATCCAACCATCCTTTATGTATCCATTCATCCTTATTTTACCTGTTTGATCCATCCACCCTTTACCTGTCTGATCCTTCTAGCTTCACCTTTACCAGGTACATGTCTTATCCACTCATCCTTTTGATGTTGGATCCTTCCCTCCTTCCCGTTGTTCCGTGGGGAAACGTGTAATGGCCTGAAGAAAAAGCGTTTTTTCTCTCAGTTACTGGCTGAAAGTTAAAGGCATATAATAGTCCAACTGCTTTTTTAGTTTTTTAAAATTTCCTTGTTTTAAAGAGAGGGTGCAGTGGCGGTGCGGTTAGTGTGCTCATCTCCAAAGCGGAAAGTCCGGGTTTGAACCTTGGTTCGGACACAGATTTTTTTCGCCCCCTCCTGCCCACCTAGCAGTAATGGGTACCTGACTTCGAGTTGGGGGAGTAAAGGCGGCATGGAAAGGAACTGGCCACCCTACCACAATATGTCGAAGGCCCAGAAAGTTGTCTCACTAACAAGGCTATC